CTACTGTTGCTGAAATATGGCCCTATTCTTTTAGTTCCTGTTTTGGCTGATGGTAGTTCATTTAACAGCCCCAAGCAGAATTTCAGGGCCATTTTAAAAATTCTCCTATGTCCCACTTACAATTAGCCACCAATGTCTCTTTAATCCATTTCTTTCTTTACATTCCATTTCCAGTACTTCCATCTGGTTCTCATATTGTCTCTCCTAAACTAGTTAATTTACCTCCTAACTGATTTTTCAGTTAATAGGCAGTGGCGCTGGGATTTGTCCCCTATGTCTGGCACCAGTGTCTGTTTTTTTCTGCATTACACTCTGGGGAGTCCACATTTAGGCTAATTCACTTCGATCCACCACAGCACAAAGCCATGGTACAATTTTGACAAGACTTTAAAAAGAAAATGTCAGAAGGGAACTAAAACCTCAGATTTACTTAGAATGACTCCTAGATAAGAATTCACCAGGCCGATGTGTCCAAAACCCTCCTCGTGAGCTTCTTTTGTGGACAGCTTCAAGGACTAGCTTCACCAGGTTTTAAGTCCATGGGGCAGTTTACTGTTTCTTCTGAGAGGGCCATCGCATGCCTCTAGACACCTAGTCAAGGCCCAGCTGCCGAAAGGCACAGCGGTGGAAAGCTATCATGCCATAACACAAACAAGGTCTACTCTCTGTGTCCCTCTGGCCTTGGCCCTCTTTCTGGGCATGACTGACAGTGAGAATGTCCAGTGTAGCAGCACCCCGGTAAGGCTATTGCGTCAGAACAGAGGCGTCCTGATTCTGCTCATTTTAACAAGCACTGTGTGTTATATTTGATTTGAACAGTCCAGTCCTGTCCAGTCATTTTTGCATTTCTTCCCTCTGTCGTGAGCATTGTGATCCTCTTCAGCACATTCATGTTGTCTTTTTGGAACGCGCCAAAGCTCAGTCTTTAGGTAATTTCATCTAGCACCACGACTTTAAACGCCCTTTACTCCCCCAAATTTGTTTCCAACCTGGACCTATTCCCGGAAATTCACAACTGAGATGAACACAAACATCTCAAACAGTTCCTAAACCTACTCCTCAGACCCAGTGTTTCCCATCTTCTACATTAGCACCCAATTTACCTACTTGCTCAGAGCAAGAACCTAGGAGTCTTCCTCATGTACCGTATCTAATCCATCCACAGATACACACATCCAAACCAAATTACTTCTTACCCGCCCCCACTTCTCCCTTACCACCCCACTCTCCAGTCTATGTCCAGTGTGTTTCTGGTCCTCTTGTGTGGTCTCTCTGCTTCTGCAGGAAAGTTCTCCCCCCCAGACACAAATGTCACCTCCTGAGAAAGGCCATCCCAAACATCTTATCTAAAGTATCTGCCCAGACCTCCCTTTCATCTCTGCAATCACTTTCTATCCTTTACTCTGCTTTATTTCTTCTTCCTGGAATTTGTATTTGTTTACTGTGTACCCTCACTATCTGTCCCCTTTTCCATTATAACTTCCAGCAGTCAAGGATAATGTCAATATCATGCCATTCCACCCCCAGTGTCTACTTCGGTGTCTGGCACATAGTAGGAGGTCAGAATTTATTGAATGAATGTTTAATAGCCTAAGAATAATTGCTCAAACAGGAACCAATTGACCCCCATAAAAACAAGTAATAATCTTAAAGGCACAACTCTACACAAAGAAAAAACAAAACAAATAACTTGTACATATTGATTCTTAAATAGGCAACGGACCCTAGAGAAACAGCTTTGAATGCACCATTATGACAAAATAGAGTGCTTAGCTTCCCCAGGTAAAATATTTTTATTAAATTTAGTACTTATTTCAGTACTCCTGAGACTAGTCATCAGGTACTTGCTGTAACTAATGTAACTAAGGTAGCTAATGGACCCTTTCCAGTGTTTTTCTCAATCCCCAAAGTAAGGGGACCTAAAGTAGTGTACAGATTTTTGCAACTTTTGAGGCAATAACTAATTATAATTTTGAGAATAATAATTTCCTCTACCTTCACACCATCCATGTTTCAAATATCTTAGTTCAATTTTCAGCCAGAATTTTTCTGTTTTCAGCTTTTCCACTTCTTTCTTTTCACCCAATATTTGTTTTTTTTTGTTTTGTTAGCAGTAGTTATCCTGTGGTGGGGGTGGGGGGACAGTATTAGAGTACAGGTGGTTGACACTGTCACACTGCTCCTCTTAGATAAGGAGTAAAAAACATTACTACAGGGGCGCCTGGGTGGCTTAGTCGGTTGAGCGTCCGACTTTCGCTCAGGTCATGATCTCGCGGTTCGTGGGTTCGAGCCCCGCGTCGGGCTCTGTGCTGACTGCCAGCTCAGAGCCTGGAGCCTGTTTCAGAGTCTGTGACTCCCTCTCTCTCTGACCCTCCCCTGCTCACGCTGTCTCTCTCTCTCTCTCTCCTAGACATAAAAAAAAAAAAACATTAAAAAAAAAACGTTACTACAAGTCAAGAATGGGCAGAAATTCCCCTTTTCAATTCTTCAAAATGTATCCTTATACTTTTAAAGTCAAGGATTCATATGTGCCTGGTACAGAATACATGGTAATCAATCTTAAAATGACTGTTTATTTTATTTAAATTCTTTTCTAATGTTTATATGTTTTTGAGAGGGGAGAGAGGCAGAGAAAGGGAGACAGAGGATCTAAAGCAGGATCCATGCTGTCAGCGTAGAGCCTGACACAGGAGCCAAACTAACAAGCTGTGGGATCATGACCTGATCCCAAGTCAGACACTTAGCCAACTGAGAGACCCAGGCGCCCCTTGAAATGACTGTTTAGAACAACCATTTATAATTGAAGTGCTCCCCCTTTTGCCAAACACAGAATAAGGGATTTAGATAACTAATTTCAAATTCTCTAATCTATACTGAATTTCTGTGTAGTTAGAGAAATTAGTTATTACCCAGAATAGAATTGACATCATAGCTCTTTTGGGTATTTTAATTAAGACGAAACCACAATTTTAAATCTAGCAAAATGATACATAGTAGAAATATTGCCTCATATACACCCCTATTATTAAAGAATTCCTAACAGTTAAGGTATCTTTAAATGAGCTTTATGAATATATATAAACAAACAGATTAATTCTCTTTGCAAGAAACCGTCCAAGTAAGTAATTTTGTTAGGACAATTTAGAAAAACTATGGCCTAATATCCTAGAGCAAATGAGAAGAGAAAGTTCTGTTACATTACTCTGAATCCCATTTTTATTTGTTTATTAATTTACTTACTAAAACACCAATTTCATAAACAGTTTTTAGAGTAGTAGCCTAGTACTGGAATAGATATTTAGAAAACCACAGTTGATCTTTGCCTTAATATGTGTGTGTGTGTGTGTGTGTGTGTGTGTATGTGTCTGTGTCTGTGTATGAGTATATCTGTGTGAGTGTTTGTGAGTGGGTATATGTGAGTTTTTATAATGGCGTTAGAGTAGTTGACCAGGTGAGGCAAGTTACAATGTGGAAGGGAGGCAAAGGATAAGTCAAACAACTCAATATGATTTATAATCCTGAGGAAAAAATGATGAATTTATGATGGTAAATGATATAATAAACTACTTTTTCATTGTCTTACATTTAGTATTTAACGGCAGCTTGAAGTTTGGTTTATTTTAAAATTATAAGTCAGGTAGAATCTTTGCTTCCCTTCTATGCATTTCCATGTACTGATAAAAAAAACAAAATACTAGGAACTTTGCTGTTGACAGATGCAAAGAAAAGATTATTTAATCAAGAAAAAGGGGCGTTTGGGTGGCTCAGTTGGTTGAGTATCCGACTTCACCTCAGGTCATGACCTTGCGGTATGTGAGTTTGAGCCTTGAGTCAGGCTTTGTGCTGACAGCTTGGAACCTGGAGCCTGCTTCAGATTCTGTCTCCCTCCCTCCCTCCCTCTCTCTCTCTCTCTCTCTTGCTCTCAAAAATAAATAAAACATAGGGGCACCTTGGTGGCTCAGTCGGTTAATCATCTGACTTCAGCTCAGGTCATGATCTCTCAGTTTGTGGGTTCTATCTCCGCCTTGGGCTCTGTGCTGACAGCTCAGAGCTTGGAGCCTGCTTCGAATTCTGTGTCTCCCCTTCTCTCTTCCTCTCTCTGTTTATGCTGTCTCTGTTTCTCAATAATTTCTGTTAAAAAATTTAAATAAATAAATTTTAAAAAGAAAAAGAAATAGATGATGATTGGGTTGCCTGTGTGGCTAAGTCAATTAAGCTTTCTAATCTGCCACCCTTCCCTCATCCCCCCTTCAACACCCCCATTCCTGTGCTCCATCCACATGAACTACTGCTTCTCCAAGAATCCCCTAGCATATATACCACACTCTGAATCATGTTTTTCTACTTTTTATACAATGCCCACAATGTCCCATATCCATTCCCTTCCCAGCCCTGCACTACCCCGTGTCACCTTGGAGATCTATTTATTGTTTAATACACGGTTCCAGAGGCTGCACTTTGGTGAGGCTTTTCTCAGTTTCCCAATCAGAGTAAGTCACTGTTTTCTTTACGCCACTTCTGTTTCATGTATCTACCACTACTTAAGCGCCGATCCCTTTGAAATTCTGTTTTCGTGTCTAGTTCTCCTGCTAGACTCTTTGATCTCCGATGTCTTGCGCAATGCCAGTACAGAATTTATCACAGGCAGGTGAGTTATTAGACTGATTATAATTTAAATCCAGACACATCTGCCATGTAAAAGTTGCCAGCTGCCTCTCTGACTGCGAGTGAGTGTAAGTCTCATTGAGGCGTAATTTTGGTTTGTAAGGAAGCAGTTTAAACGCCCTTTTTAGTTAAATAAATGCAAGGCAATTAGGTAAAGATAGCCTGGGGAACAAGACATAAGGGGCCACTTTTTGTAAACAGGACTGCCAGGCGAATGGAATTGTTAGCTAGGAAAAGGTACAAAACATTGTCTAAAGCCAGGGAACATCTTGGGTGGAAAAGGAATATAACAAATGTATCTTATTGAATCTTTTTTTTTTTTTTTTTAGATTGACATGGCCTCAACTAAGATCTATAGGAGGAAGAGGCTTCATGTGGGAACTTCTGTACGAGAAGGAAGGGGAAGGTCTGCGCTGGGGACCTGGACTCAACAGCCGGGTTTGAAAAGATGTGGGAGAAAGGCCTGGTTCTGGTGTACACCACAGATGAGTGCCACAGCCCGCCCTCATCCAGTCTTCCTAGCACGGTGGACTTCCGCCACAGGTAAGCTCCCTCTTCCTTTATGTCAGAACTGCTGCAGTCTTTGAAGAGATCTCAGCCAATCATCACATTATGATAGTAGGTCTTGTTTGGAACAGCAACACTGCTGTACAGACCAAAATAAAGTGGCTCAAAAACAGGCCACTGGGAGACTGGTCATATGGTCATATTATCCTCGACTCTATCATCACAAAGTATTTAAAAGGAAGGCTGCTTCTTTAAATTCAGTTCCTATGGTTATGGGATCATTTAAGGAGAGACAAGAGGCCCCAAGAAGAAGATACGGGTCTTCCTGCTATCCTAATATTTGATTCTGAGGTGGTTTTATTTTGTTTATTTACTTTGAGAGAGAGAGAGAGACAAAGAGAGAGAGAGAATTCCAAGTAGGCTCCATGCTGCTGGCACAGAGCCCGACATGGAGCTCAAATCCATGAACCATGAGATCATGACCTGAGCTGAAGTTGGATGCTTAACTGACTGAGCCACCCAGGCGCCCCTGAGGTGGTTTTATTTGGAAAAATAAATTTTGTGATCTTACTTTTAACCTTGGCTCTTGAGGTGGGTTCTACCAATTACAGAGCAAATAGTCAAAGATTTTGTTTTTCCATTTAAGGAATGCCAATTTCAGATCTGTGGTTTAGGAAGATTACGCTGACAAAAACTGGTAGTTTTTGAATTAAGTCTGAATTAAGGTTAGTAACAGAAACTGATACCAGAGGTGAGAAGGGTATCATATCGCTCTCATGTATTTAGCCAGAGTAACCAAAAAAAAATGTTGGAACCATTAACAAAAAACAGGAAGCACAAAGGTGAATCAGCATGGGAGAATTTAACCAGTCTGCAATAAGAATGCAGGTGTGACGTGGTGGTGATGTAGGCGTACATGTACAGAGCGGTCGAGCATGGTGGTTTTCAAAACTGTTACAGTTGGAATGTTTAGATTACAGTTAGATATGTTATGATTAAGCAGGTAACACATTTTGATTTTCTCACACTGTTACAAACTGCCATTGATTATAAGAGGACCATGAACGGAAAGTGGGAGGTAAATAATGATTGGAAAACAGCAGCAGCATTAAAATAAAAGATGTTTTCTTAGGCAACAGCCACTTCTTGTGGCTTTGTGCCTCCTAGGTCAATACTTTTTAAAAGTGGTGTATCTACGAATTCCTGGGCTATTAAGAGTTCTGGAAGGGCAGTAATAGGCAACTCTACAAGAAATCATATTCACATTTGCTTGATTTTGTATCTATTATATAGCCATATTCATTATCATTTTATTTATTTATTTTTTTAATATTTTTTATTTATTTCTAGGAGAGAGAGAGAGAGACAGCGTGAGCAGGGTAGGGTCAGAGAGAGAGGGAGATACAGACTCTGAAACAGGCTCCAGGCTCTGAGCTGGCTGTCAGCACAGAGCCCGATGCGGGGCTCGAACCCACTTACTGTGAGATCATGACCTAAGCGAAAGTCGGACGCTTAACCGACTAAGCCACCCAGGCGCCCCTTCATTATCATTTTAAAAAGGTACAAGAAAACTTTTTTTCTATATGACTAAAATTTTTCAGATTCTAATTCTCTTTTTCATTTTTCATTGAGGTTCTTGCTTTAATACCATACTTTGTGATAATGCATGGTCTCTTAGGAATGTAACTCTAATGTATGGTCTAAAGATTTTAGTTTTCCCACCCAGATCCACCAAATCAGACTGCCTAAGGCTAAGTTCTTAAACAACTTCTGGAATAAGAAGTAGCTGGAAATTACTGACTGAAGTTGATGACAGAATACGGTACAGAATAACTTTCTACTGGCATAGATGCAAGGTAGGTGTGATTACTAGAGACAAGGGGAGGCCAGAAACTTGGAGGAAAGCCTGTGTTTTCATGTTGATAGAAATTTTTAAAAGTTGCATTACGCTATACAATTGTTCAATTGTCAGGAGGAGGTCAGAAGAGATGGTGCCAGAAGCGATGGGAGTCAGAAGGGGTGTGTTTGCTCTGGCAGAGGGACTGCTTGTCCATTATGCAAATGATCCAGGCCAAAATGCATGAATATTGTGATGTTTGTGTGTGAACTGAAAGGGGGCGTGAGCAGAGGCCCAGGGGGGTAGTTGCTACTGGTCAGCTACATTTAATCAACATTGTTAAGTACTGATGCTTAGTCTTCCTTTCATTGGAAGGGAATGTAGGTCACACCCCACTCACAAGGTGATGCTACCAAGTAGAAATCAGTTAACAGTGGAGCGCTGAGACAGGAGTAAAAGAGCGCCCTCTGTAGGTGATACCATATCAGAGGCCGTCTCAAACAACCTTGGTTCTTACAGATTCTACTAGCCCCATACCTGCAAACAGACAGGCATTTAGAAAATATTCAGAGTCGGGGCGCCTGGGTGGCTTAGTCGGTTAAGCGTCTGACTGCCAGCTCAGAGCCTGGAGCCTGTTTCGGAGTCTGTGACTCCCTCTCTCTCTGACCCTCCCCTGCTCACGCTGTCTCTCTCTCTCTCTCTCTCTCCTAGAAATAAATAAAACATTAAAAAAATTTAAAAAAAAAAGAAAATATTCAGAGTGAATACATAAGCAAATTAAGTGTGCCTCAGGGCCATTGTGCCTCATCTCCTCCTCTGCTTGTTTTTGGGGCATTGAATGAAATTACTCTGCATATGCCAACAACTGTTAGATAAAATAGTACTTTATTTTCTGTGATTTCATCGCATTAAAAATAGTATTTTATTTATATATGATTACTTTTATTTTTTTAGTTTACTGAGGAGCACAGAACTTATTAACGAAACAGCATTTTAGTTATAAGTAATTAAGTCTTAAAGATTACTCTAGGGGCACCTGGATGGCTCAGTCAGTTAAGCAATCAATCTCGGTTGAAGTTATGATTTCACACTTTGGGAGTTCAAGCCCTGCATTAGGCTTTGTGTTGACAGATCAGAGCCTGGAGCCTGCTTCAGATTCTGTGTCTCCCTCTCTCTCTGCCCCTCCTCCTCTCCTGCGCATGCTCTCTCTCTCTCAAAAATAAATGAACATTTAAAAAAATTAAAGGTTACTCTAAACTACTGACATTTTTGGCACAAAACAGGTAAACTGAGCAAAGATGCAGCATTGTGCCTGACCTATTAAAAAGAAAGATAAAATTGTTGGCTATTTGCAAGTAATTTAATGAACAAACTGAATCCTAAATTTGATATCCGATAAATCATTAACATTTTATAAAAATCAGTTAATGAATACCAGAAGGACAATTATAATTTACAAACTTACTTTGTTTTTCTAAAGTTTATTTATTTATTTATTTATTTTTTGAGAGAGACAGAGGCAGTGTGAGTGGGGTAGGGGTAGAGAGAGAGGGAAAGGCAGAATCCCAAGCTGGCTACTCACCGTCAGCTGCATAGAGCCTGATGTGCAGCTCTAACTGACAAACCCCTGAGATCATGAGCTGAGCCAAGATCAACAGTCAGATGCTTAACTGACTAAACCACCCAGGTACCCTTACTTTAAAAAGGAGCTTTCCATATTTATCAATTATCTTCCAAACTGTCTTATAAATGAGATCTGTGTGATTTATCTCAATTTTATAAATGAAGAAACTGAGGCTCTGTAAAGTTAGGTCATTTATTCGCTAAAGGTCACTGAGCTAGTGTTTTAGAGTTTTAACTTGGCTAGGTCCGGGTAAGAGCTCTGTCTATGACCACATTCTGACTTACTTTGGTATGTGGAGAGCAAGAGAGGGAAGAAAGTTATTTCAAAAAGTTTCCAATATAACACACTAGGGGAGCAAAAAAAAAAAGGAAGATCAATATGTTCTTGTTTTGAAAGTATATTTTCTGCTTTTAGCTTATTAATTCCTCAGTATGCTTCATTTATCATGAAGATATAATATTTGAGAGTTAATAACTATCAGTCTGGAATCTACTGAGAGTTGGTAACAAATTTATGATATTCTCAATCCAAAAGGATTGCCCAGTCTTAAGGTATGTCCAGGTGTAGTTTCAAAATAGGGAATGAAATCAAGGTTAAAGGTTACTACTCATAGAGAAATAACGAGTGCTGAGGAAGTATCCTGCTAGCTTCTATTTAAAGATAACACTGCCTTTTATTAGAAAATTGGGTATTACACTGAGGCTTTTAGAAATCAATTACCATTTAACATTTTATATTCAAAAGTCTAATTTCCAAAGAATTTAAAAAAATTCCTTTTGTTTAGATTTTACTCAAATATTAAAGATTATCATATTATTAGGTACAGAGATTCAAAGCTGTAATGAATTCCAAGAATATGTAAATATTTGGATATTAAAAAAACATATGCAACTGCTGATGGGAATACACAATGGGGCAGCTGCTTTGGAAATTGTCTGGCGGTTCCTCAAAAGGTTAAAGAGAATTACCATAGAAGCAGGCAGTTCCACTCCGGAGTATATTCTCAAGAGAAACAAAAACATGTTCATGCAAAAATTTGTATATGAATGTTCATAGCAGCATTATCCATAATAGCCAAAAAGTGGAAACAATCCAACTGTCCATCAAATGGTGAAATGGATAAACAAAATGCGGTGTATCCACACAAAGGAATACTGTTTGGCAATAAGAATAAATGAAATACTGTCGCATACTGTGCGAGAGCGAACCCTGCAGACATTCAAGGTGAAAGAAATTAGTCATAAAAACCACATATTGTATGATTCCATTTGCATGAAATATCCAGTATGAGCAAACCTATAGAGACAGAAAGTATAATTATGGTTCCCTTGGGCTGGGGAGAGAGAGGGATAGGGGAAAATGGTAAGTCACTGCTAATGGTCTGGGGTTTCTTTTTCTTAGTGATAAAAATGTCCTAAAATTGATCTTGATGTCGATTGTACCACTGTGAATATGCCAAAACCATTTAATTATTTTTTTAAAGGAGGGCAACAGTAATCCCTCAAAAACTAACTGGTTTTTCCAAGTAAATCAAGTTTCTTTTAAAAAGACTTCCATGCTTATTCAGATACAAAAATATATAAATCTGGCACAAAGGGGTAAAAAAAGAAAAAAAGATTGCAATGCTCCAGTTTTTTCAGACAGCCCTACAGGCCATCATTCATGGTGTGTTCAGAAAAGCAGACATTTGACTGAATTCATTGCAGTTCTTTTACTTCAAAGGGCAAACAGTATCAGGCTTTGATAGATCTTGAGTCTTTGTATCAAAATGTCTGCTCCTCTGAAGAGTGATTAGCTGACAAGGAAATAATTAACATGTACTAGCTTCAGTTACATATGCAAGACTTCAAGAAACAACACAATGCTTTGGAGAGATTGAGTTTAGGATTGTGTTTGCTACTTGTTTTCATCTCACAGATAATTCATTCCAAATAAGTATAAAAATTGCACTGCTACAACATCAAAGAGGACTAAACAAAGATTAAGCAAAGGTATTTGGCAATCCGTTGTGCCAGGAGATGGAGACACAAATCTCAGTTTTGGCAGCTGTGTTTGTATACATTCTAATCCAGCCTGACACTCGGACTCCTTACCAAGCTGAACACACATGTGACTGGTAAGACTTTGGCATAAACACAGTGTTATGTATATGAATTCCTTTTGCAGCCTGAGATTTATGTCTTGGAAATTAAACATGCATGTGTGCAGAGGCAGAGTATAACCACACATATGTACAATATTTATAGAGTCTTTTCTTGCCAGCACTGTGCTAGGCTCTAGGGAAATGAGATGCATATTGATACCTATTTATAAAAAAAAATGTACAAAATACAAGATGTTCTGTAACCATTGTTGTAATAGTCTCACCACATATTATCTTCCTTCATGATGTTAGTGCTAAACACACTATCAATTATTTAATCAAATACATAGAACACTAAAATTTAAATTTGCTTTCGTTTGCCCCATGCCTCTTTTACATACGTAACTTGTGACTAAGTGACTAAAGGGACAAGGATGACAGGTTTCTCTTTATCCATCCTGAGGAACTCTGACAACAAATCATCTCACACATGGAAGAAAGAAACTTTTTGTTCTTTCTTAGATTTTTGAGATATCTGTAATTATCTACCATGGCAACTCTGGGATTCTCCTGAGATGATGGAATTTTCAGCATTATCTGCTGATGTTCTGAAATCACAGTCCTCACTGAGGTAAGAATTAAAGGTGACTGCATCGGAAAATCTATTTTTTTTTCCAGGAAACCCTCAACTACAATACTTTGGTCTCTGTGTAACAGTTGAGGTTTCAAGCTGCCAACAAAGGAAATCAGTTCCAGTTAGTTAAGCAGAAAGGGAACATGTAAAAATGTCAGATAGTTCTTTGAATCTGCGGGAGAGCCAGAGACCTTGGCTTAGGGGCTACACAGCCAAAGCCTATGCCAAACTTCTTTCAAGAATTTTTTGTACAAGCTCTTTCAATGATGTCACCTCATACTCCCTCCTCAGCCCTTGAGCTTCCATGGTAACTGTTCTCACAGAAGTCAGGAAACACCATTAGGGCTGCAGCCAACAGATAAAGCTTGCTCTGTATCCTCCTTGATCACTCACTCAGCAGCTTTGAGACCTTAGACACCTCTTTCCACCAGATTTCTTGGATATCATAGTCTTGTTTTCCTCTTCTTTCTTTGGCCTCTTCTTCTGAGTGCTCTTAGAAGCCTTTATTTTCCTACTATTTTTTTTTTTAATGTTATTATTTCCCAGCTTTTGACTTTGACCTCACCTTTTCTTTCTCCACATGCCTCTTTGGGATTCTGCATTTCCTCTCATGGTCCTGAATATCATCTAAATGATGACAACTCCCAAATCTGTCACCTCTACCTAGAGATATATCCTAAGTTCCTGATCTGGGTTTCCAAGGCTTTACCTCACATGGCCTCATGGACATGACAACTCAGAATGCTCAAAACCAAGCTCATATTCCTCTCTCAAAGCTTGTTTCTTTCCACACTCTGTCTCTCTCATGAAATGAAAACCACCCTCCCAGCTGACTGAGCCAGAAAACTGCCATCACCTTTGCTCATCTATTTGTCTTACCCTTTATACCCAACCATATGCAGAGTTCTTCCTACTGATTCACTACTTCAGTATCTCTCTGAACTATTCACTTCTCTCCATCCTTGAAGCTACCACTCTAGTTTATACTCTTACTATCTCATGTCGGGATGGCTGCCCAGCTTCAGTGGTTTTCTGCCTCCAGTTTTGCCCCCTCCAGTACATTTTCCACACTGCAGCCAGGGAAACGTTCTATTATGCAAATGTTGCTACTGGCTTCTTTATCTAAAATCTTTTAGTGGTATCCCAAAGTCTCCAAGGATAAAGTCCAAACTCTTTAACATGTTTTAAAGTCTTTCACTGATCTTGTTCCTGCTTGCTTGTCAGCCTTAATCTTTTCTTTTTTCTTAGAGGTTTTATTTCTAAGTAATCTCCACACCCAATGTGAGGCTTGAACTCACAACCCTGAGATCAATAGTGTCATGGTCTTGACAGAATCAGTCAGGCACCCCTTGTCAGCCTTAATCTTCACACACGATGCAGCAGCTGTATAGACTACATGAGATTCCATCCAGCTGTCTGAAACTAGTGACTCAAATAACTGAAATTGGAGGTGGTTTCATTATTATCATTTTTGACCATATCAAGAAATTCAAGGGTAGACAGTTCAGGGCTAGAATAGTGACTGCAGGATATCATCAGCCTCTCAGTCTCCTTATTATACCTTTCTACACTACCCCTCATTGCTTGGCCCTTTCTCCTCATGGTTCCTTCATGGTCTAAAGATGGCTGCTCCACCTCTAGAGATACATCATATTCCAGATAGGAAATGAGGGAGGAAAAATAAGGAAGAAGAGCCAGCATGCGTATCAGGAGACCATCAACTAAACATCTGTTTATGTCTCATTGGCTAGAACCCTGCCAAATGGCCCTTAATTATAAGTCCAAAATGTTGTTTTCTGGGTGTGTTTTTATATCTTTTAACATAGATGTTTTTCTGAGTTCTGTTCATAAGAAAGAAGTAGAAATTATAGATGGACTAAATAATAGCATTTACCACAGGAGCTTTCTCTGAATTCCTGAAATATGAAACATTTTCTAGAAGATGGAAAATGGAAACATTTTCTTGTCATTGTCGCTGTTCCTCTTTCCCCTGAAATAGTTTCTCACAACACTTATTTGCCTGGCTAACGTCTACTTAGTCTTCAGATCTAGCTTAAATAACACTTCTGATAGAGTATCTTCTTTCAGGTCCACCTATCCTACCCTTCCTCAGATTCCAGACTAGCCTCCTTATGTACTCTCAGCATGAGTGAATTTTTAAAATGTGATATAATTTTCTCTTTAATGCTCCAACTTTTTCACTAGACTGTGCCTATCTTGATTACCACGGCATGCTTGTAGCACATAATGTATGTACTCAATATAAATTGTAGAATGGATATGAAATATACATGAATTGGATGATGGAAAGGATATCTGTACAGTATATATTATAATATATAGCTAATACAGTATAAGGAGATCCAAAAAATTAGAACATACTTGAAAATAAATATAGGGTGAATCATATGAAGTAGATTAATTTTTTTGTAATTAATAATATGTCCCTCTGCTCCCGTTGTGGTACTAGAATTATCCTTCTCTAGGCTACTTGCTTATTTTTCTCAGAGTTACCATACTCTAGTGTTAGTATATTTAAACAGTTCACTGAGATTCAAAGGAGCTAGTTATTTTGAAGAAATGAACAACTAGTATAAGGATAAAGATTAAAAAATATACCAGGTAATGGACCAAAGGAGAGATTCTAATATTTTTCTCACCTGGGCAATAAAAGCTTTCTAACTTGACAAAATAGTTATATTTCCACTTAACAAATTCTTTTTTTCTTTTTTTCTTTCTTTGTCTTTCTCCTTCCTTCTTTCCTTTCTTTCTTTCCTTCCTTCCTTCCCTCCTCCTTTCCTTCCTTCCTTCCTTCCTTCCTTCCTTCCTTCCTTCCTTCCTTCCTTCCCTCCTTCTTTCCTTCCTTCCTTTCTATTTTTATTTTAGAGAGAGTAGAAGTTGGGGAGAGGGGCAGAGGGAAAGAGAGAATCCAAGCAGGCTCCATGCTCAGCATAGAATGGGGCTCAATCCTATAACCCCGGGATCATGACCTGAGTTGAAATCAAGAGTCATTCACTCAACCAACTGAGCCACCCCTCCACTGTATTAATTCTTATACGTGTTTTAAACTATCAACATCAACTTTCGAATGTTATTATGCATCTTCTCATACTTTCCAATATCTTAGCAGATAATAAATAAATATTTGTTGGATGAAATAGGTACCAGAAAAGTGGCATTTTCCTCATATTAAGAGAAAAATAATGAAGATTTGATAAAACTTAGCTTAGAATTCTTGTCGAGGGATTTTCATATTGTGCAGAAGGCTAAGACTCCATCCAGGTTTCTTAGGCCTAATTTTTTTCCAGGGCAGAATTTTGTACTTCTTTGCTAATCATTTTCTTATGACCTATACGGATGATTTAACACAGAAATCCTTACTTTTGGCTAAACATTGGCTCAAAATCTAGATAAATTATATGAATTAATGCTTCCTGAAAGTTGAAGAAAAATTAAAATATAAACTGGAAATTAAGATTCAGTATGTGTTTATATTGGCTAACATCATTCTAAGTGAGACAGCCATCAGAGAATATGCTTTGGGAAAACAAGCCTTAGCTCTGAATCAAATATACAATTTAACTCTAAAGTTTCACCAATATGAATAAGTGATGGCATCTGATGGCATTTGTATTTTCAGTGAGCTATCATGAAGTAGTGGACACAGGATGAAAACAATTAAATAAACAATAACTTGAAGGCATAAGTGAAGTCAAAAGTCAACTTATAGACCATTACTTATGCATTCTACTTATCTTTATCTAAATTTCTCACATGCTGCAATATGGTGGGCCTTGTGAATTTTTCTGGGAAAATGTTTGCTCCAAAACCTAGAGCTAGTATTTCCCCATTTCTTCTCTCTTATTTCCCCCTAAATTTATTGGGGTATAATTGGCACATAACATTATGTGTGAGTTTAAGAGGTACATGTTAATTCGATACATTTATATATTACAAAATGATTACCACCCCTTTTTTTGTGGTGAGAAAATTGAAGGTCTGCTCTCTTAGAATTATTCAAGTATATACTGCAGTATTATTAGTTATAATAATGTTAAATATTAGGTCCTCCGAATTTTATTTGTTTTCTAGTCCTTTCAGTAAGCTACCGCCAAATCTGCTCAGAGCCCCCACTGGCTCCACAGACCATTAGAAGGTCTACCTCCAAAGCCATCATTGCTTCCTCATAGAAGTTGCCAGAATCTGTCAGGGGAATTATTTTTTGTGCTTTTATTGTTTTTTAATCAACTCTTTACTTTGAATTTTGCTTTTTTCTCTTAGCTTATTTTCTATAGCTTTAATTTTAATTCATCTTCTAACCATGTGTATGACACTTTCAATGCAACTTCCATGTTAGGCTGTGCTTCTCATGGGTAACCAGTTTTCCAGTACGGCACAAAGAACTTCACCTTTAGTTTCCTACCCTTACCCTATTATATTGCCTGGTATCTTAAAAAGGGTGCGGCGGCTAGCAGCACCTTGCTCTGTATTTGTTAACAGGTTACCAAACCACTGGTACATTTTCTCTCTCGCTATCCAAAATGTTTCACTTCTTCCAGTCCAAATAAACCCCTTCTCTTAAAACTGAATCTCTCTCTCTCAAAAAAAAAAAAAATGCCCATTGCTAACTGCCCTTCTTCCCCCTTTAGATGTCCTCGAACCATAAACACATCACTCAGGCTTGCCTCTGGAGAAGTCAGAGTGATAGGTGGCAGCCCTGCTTCCCCTAGGCTGATTACTCGCCTCACAGAACCACCGAGCCACGTTTGGGGAGCCAGGGATACCAAAGCACTAAATGATGCCAAGCCACACTCACTCCTCACCTCAGCCAGTATTCTTCCTAGGAAGGTTTCAAGGACGTTTTTCATGTTCAGCTGTTACAAGGTCACAGTCTTCTTAACTTCTGAGAGATAAACCTATAGATGGTCCATTGATGTGAGCAGGATTTCTCTATGTATTTAATCAGATTCCCTCCTCTCCTGACAAAGACAGGGATGAGGTAGTGGTACACATTTAGTCCTGGCAGATCTTAACTATTTTGATATAGAAAGACCCTCCGGTCTTTCAGATCCTGCTCTGAAATATATTCTCTATTTCAACTATAGAAAAGCTGCTCCAGAAGCACCTGGATGGCTCAGTCGCTCCTGAGTGCCCAACTCTTGATTTTGGCTCAGGTCATGATCTCACAATTTGTGCAATCAAGCCCCATGTTGGGCTTTATGAAGACATAAAGACATAGAGAATCTTGAGATTCTCTCTTTCCCTTTCTCTGTCCTTCCCTGGCTCGCACGGCCCACTCTCTTGCTCTTTTTCAAAACAAATAAATAAACTTAAAAAATTTTCTTAAAAAAAAATAGAAAGAAAAAGCTACTCCAGATTCTAGTGTAGGTCTGGGTAGTGGGGAGTTTTCATTACCAGGTAGAAGCACTTAGACAGAGGCAAGTGTTGGCTAATAATGGGTTGTAGAAGTGAAAAGTATATGCTCTGTGTTCACATCACAGCTCAGCTAATTTTACCAGCTTATACTCTGGACAATATCAGAAGGGCGTATGTCTGTCTAGGCTTTTACTCTGTGCATAAACAAGGAAACGTGAGTTGTGGTGTTCATTTGTACCTGTGAATGTGACCTCATTTCAAAAATGGGTTCTTGCAGATGTAATTAAGCTCTTGAAATTAGATCTTCCTGCATTAATTGACTGGACCCTAAATCCAATGACAAGTGTCCTTATAGGACACAGTAGAAAAGACACAGTGAAGGAAAAGACACAGTGAAAAGTGCCATGTGAAGGAGTCAGAGGTTGGAGCTGTGTGCAGTGAGCCAAGGAACATGTGGAACTTCCAGAATCTGAAAGGGAGAAGATTCTTCGTAGTGAAGAGACCTCATAGTGAGTCTTCATAATGAACATGACCCAGAGGAGACCTTGATTTTGAATTTCTGACCTCCAGAAGTGCGAGAGAGTAAATTTCTGTAGTTTTGCACCACCAAGTTTGTGGTAATTTGTGATGGCTGCCTTAGGAAACATACGGTTTGTGACAGTAATAAAATAAATACAATTAAATAAGATTTTTAATCCTCCTGACTTCCCTTCCTATCTAAGGAGAGAAGCATTCTTGTGTCAACTCAGCCCTCCATTGTTTGCTTGATCGTGGGGAAGGGTGCAAAGGAGAATAATGTCGAGAGCAGGAATCGGGCTGGAAGCTGAGGACAGGGAGGGTGGCAACAGAATGAGAAAAAGTAGGGAACGCGAGCAGCCGCTGTGAAGAGCAGATTTGGAGGGAGGCCTGCTCTGTGTTCGAATGTATTAATTCGCCTTTGGCTTCCTTCTCAAGAGAATTTCGACAAATACTGGAGCGACTTCAGAGGCTTCCTGGAGCTGGGTCTTTGTTTCTTTAGGACGCATTACTATGCTGAGATTAGCGTGGCGGTGAGGAGCACTTAAATTAGGTTATACTTTTATAATCAGAAAATAAAGGTAGTTTCTCTTTGACAACACAAAAGTGTGTGTGTGTGTGTGTGTGTGTGTACACACACCAGCGTACTCTTGATATATTGTATTCAGAGATGGCTACAGGTGTTCGGGAAAAGAAAAGATTCCTCTACTTCCCCCCGGACCAGGGACGCCCTGACCCGTCCAGACTGACGCTACCAGAACGTCTGCCTCCAGTTGGACAACAGATGTTTCCTGCTAGTCCTGAGAGCTTCCATCCCTGCACGATTTGCCTGGGAAACTGACCCCCAAAGTTCTTATCTAAAAATGGAAATTACTTGTCAAATCTGCCTTCCGGGCGCTGTGGCACTAATCGGGTTATAATCCGCTGTAGCCTGGAGCAGCTGCCGAGAGCCCCCAGACTCTCCCTCCTTCGGCCCGTAGCCCGCATATCTTAGCACTGTAACTGTGCCAAAATCTACGTGCGGGGCATCTCCCCAAAACGACAACAGCAGCGCCAATAGCAATATTATGGAACCCTTTGAACCCCAGCAATCAATTCACAGAGAAGCGCCAAACATGAGAATACCCCTGCTCTGAAAACTTTGCTTTTCTTAATTCCCATTTGATACTGAAGGAGCGAGGTCACTGTGTGTACCAAATACATACAGCAGGCTATGTATATAAAAATTCCAAGGCCAAGTGTGATGTGACCTGTGTAAAGTGAGGGACTGTGTATTTGGCATGGGGCAGACTATGGGCAGGATTTGCCCCTGTGACATTTTAACCAACCACTGTATTAAACGTATTAAATATGGTTTGGAACAGGGACAGTGATTTGTATTATGTTTACTTGTTATCTCTGTCTCCAGGTTAAGTGGTAATAAAATGGATCGTTTAAACCATTTTCTCCCGGATGACCAGAGACACTGATTCTGGATTTTATCTCCCTCATTAATACAAAGCTGTCGTGGTGGAATTATGTATCCACACCAAAATGGCACGTGATGTCTTACCTCCGCTCCAAACATCACCAGTTCATCTCCTGATTCCATAGACAGGTCTGCCTATCTGATGTATGGCTTCTGATTTTAAAGATGGTATGGAGATACAGTCAAGTCTGTTTTTACCTGTCCATTGTTTACCGTCCATAGAGAAGTGGATTCAATCCACAGACAAATGGGTCAGTAAATGTGCTTTTCAAAAAGCATATGCAGTGGTAGTGTTGTCTACATTCACCGCACTGAATTAAAAAATGTAACAGCTCCATCAGAATTGGTTATTCTCTATACCAATTACATTTTCCATTTCTCATATTCCACAAATGCTCCAACATCACTGATACCTAGAGGTAATCTATATCTAAAAGAAATGATAAGATTGATATGAATACCTCCAGGACTCCTTCCTATAGGCAAAGGGCAGGGAGAAGAGATTGTACAAGCTAGAGAGAGATCTTATGAGTGAGCCTTGTATCACCTTTCATCACAAACACCCTTTCCAAGCATCTGGTCCTTATAAAATGAGGGAGACAGTCAGCCTCATTTCAATGACCTGCCTGCCTTTTTTCATCTTATTTCCTGAACTCTATCTGACATGAGCTTCATTATGTATCTACAATGTTGGCGAGACTCTTTTCTAGAAGATAGCGTTACTAAAGACTCCATATTCAGCTGTTATTTCCAGTTCACTGGAAAAGGAAGAGGTCGGAAGGGATTTCCACCTGTATGGCGTCTTTGGTGGGTCAATGTGCTGGTGAAGACTTGTCCCCGTTCATCTCTTCCTCTGACCATTCTAAGGAGTTAAACACCCTGTTGCCCCTTACAGCCAGGGATCACCAGTCCCCTGGGAGGAAAGACCTTAAAAATATTTTCCAATACAGACCTCGCACAAGTGAATGCCAATGTCAGATAATTAGGAAAATTGAAATTATCTCATTTTTGTTTGCTTGTTTACTTGGGAGTTGACATTAGCCAGAATCATTTGGATAACATCAACATTAATCTTCATTCATGAATTATTAAAACCTTAGACTGTGTCGTAGTAAATTTGCAGGAATAATATTTTAATTCAGTACTGTTTGCAATCAGTATGGAAATGTATTTTATGATCAAGCATTTTTAATAAAGGTGTCATTTTTCTCATTGTAACATTAAATATAATCCCTCTAAAGAAAATGGATTTTGTCATATTAACTAAATCAAGAGGTTACAGAAAACATTATGACTACTGAATTCTTATTCTGGCACCAAGTGAAAAATGTATTAGAGATCATCTTTCTAAAGAGATAGAGGCCTGATGAAATAAATGCAGATTTCATAGTCAATTATATACGGAAAATGACTGAATACAGGACTGCTGTTTTCAAATAATAGCTGCTTTTCACATCAGCATGAAAGAGAAAAACACAAAACAAGTTGCAAGCACAAGGGAAACAATATATCTGATTTGCCTTCCACTGATTGCATTATACAAGGAAATTGCTCATCAGTATCTTTCTTTCTTAGCCAATGCAAAAAATAAATAAACAAATTTTATCACTTAAAAATTTGGTTATATCCTTTGGTGCACTTTTGTATGCCTTTTTGTTGTGATTGTACCATAGAGTGAAATTTCTGGGTTATAAGGGAAATTTATGTTTATTTTAATAGAAAGTGAAAGTTCTTCAAAACCAACATATCATTTCAACTTTGAACCAGCAGTGGATGAGGGTTCTAGCTGCACCATATCCTTACTAGTGTTTTTACTTGGTATTTCCAAGTAAAATATTTGATTTTAGGCATTCCCTAATGACTACTGAAGTTGAAACACTTTTTATAGGTGTAATGGCTTTATTTATATCGGGTTTTTGGTTTGTTTATTTGTTTTTTATTTTTATTTTATTTTTATTTTATTTTTTTATTTTTTGTGAAGTGCATTTATAAGCTTTTCTCCCAGCCTCTCAGGTTGTTTTTCTTACCCAGGGACCACAGCCACCTGGAATGAATGGTCATTCTACATATGCTGGGCATATGCAAGCCTTTAAATTCAAACCCTGTTCAAATGCATTAGGCTTAAAATAAATGTCAGGGCTTTTTTTCCTATTAATTCAAGGTAAGTTTCAAGTTACTATTTTTAGAAGAAGGACTGGTTTCTCTATACAACAGGACACATTTACAGTGTGTTGCTTTGGGAAATTACTGGCATGAGAAGTGTTACATGGCTGATTGATGAGCCTGGTGGATAGATACTAATGTTTAAATCTATAGTGGTTTTCTAACCATTAGTAGAGGCCAAATGCTGCTAAAAATACAACGTGGGGGCAATTCTCTTTAGAAAGACTTTTAGAAGTGGGTGGTGTGAAGAATAATTTGATAAGCTACTGAGATAGGAGATGGGAATAGTAAGCATTATGCTTGAGTAAATACAGATAATCTCTAAATGGCTCTCCAATACAGAGGGTAATGCAGGACTTCTGATTGGCTGTATTCTTGTAGGAAAATGTAGCATCTATTTTTCTTTTATGCCTTCTGAGAGCATGTTTTTGCTGTGATGCATTCAGAAGTTATATAACTGTGCTTTCTTCTCTTCACTTTCTTTTGGGTAGGTTAAAACTCTTGGCAACAGAACTGAAGAGTTATTTTAGGTTTTCCAACCTTATCATCTTCCTGTCTATCCCATCGGAGATTGCCATTCAATAAATAGTAACTGAGACCCTACTATATGCCTAGAAATCAGAGATAAGAAAGAGCTACTAGATAAACTACAGAACCATAGTCAAATACAATGTACATCGAATCACTAAACTTGTGGACAAGTACTCTTTAAATATTTCCTTCTCACCAGCCTTAAATAAGTAAATGAAATTTGCTTCATAAGATACTTATAGATATATTTTAATATTTTTCACTCCATTATTATTCCTGGAAATAGTTAAATGCCTTCCTATCTCATTGTTGTTGAATGCTCAAGTGCTATCTTTATTAGTATACAGGTCAATGCCTATTAGGTAAATGTCAGTACTGACTGACGTGACCACAATAAGCTCCAAGGGAGCCTGAGAAATTTCAGTTATACCTGGTCAGCACATATTTGCTAAAATTTTGGTGGGTTCTATGATTAGAAGGAATTAAGAGATGTTGACTAGAGGACACATAGGAGCTTCTACTATGACCTATTTGTATGGTAGCTTGATTATCTCCCGTCTCTTTCATCCCACACTCTTCTAAGCATCAACAATCCAGTTTATCCCCAAATCTAATCTCTACGTGATGCAAAATTATTTCTACAAACCCTAATGAGGCTTTATCAGGTCCCATGATCTACACTAGTAAGTACTTTCATGACCACACCCACAGCCCTCAAGTCCACACACATGAGTACAATTAACTCTGACATACAGGGATGAAAGACAACCAGGAAAACTATAAGAAAAATTTCCACCTGCACATGCAGAATCACTTATCTAGAGCAGTACTGAGATCTTGCTGAGTGGAAATTGTGAGGACTACCCTTACTAGTAGTAGTGGAAAAGATTCCTCAATGAAATCCTGCTCTGCTGTCTGAAGCTCAGGTTTCTCGGCTCTTTGCTGAGATGATCTCAGGAGGTGCTTTCTGACTAAATAATCACAAATGTTTGCAGATTAGACTTGTGAGTTTTCCAGTGGTATAATTTGCTTACAGCAAGAATTGACTCCCTATCTACTTGGCTCCAGGAACTTGTATATAAAAGAAACTATGATCTGAAGCTTTATCTGGCTAAAACCCTAACAGTGCTATCATTCCTTTCTCCCTTGAATTAAGAGCAGCTACACTGGGTAGAAAAACGCCCTTAATCTGATTTTGGATTGGCTTACATTCCTGGTTGAGAACTCTTAAAGGAAGGCTCTTGAACGGAGTCCTGAGTGACAACTTTATCTACTGTTATTTTGTTTATAGAAACAGTTGGCTTTTCCAAGTTACTAATCCCTTAGTCAATTTAGATTAAAGGCCACCTGCTCAGAATAGAGCAGATTTAGATCCCTTTTCATCCTTGCTTTAAACTGATTAATTCTTGCCTGACTTCATCTTTCTCTTATAGCACATTGCTAAAAGCTGCATGGAACAGCCAACACACATTAACATCTGCACTTTCTCAACCTTAAGAGGCATCTGATCTGCCTTCTTAGTTTCCACTGGTAACAGTCGTATTGCATGTTTTACCGTACAAAGGATTGCTGACATCTCCACCTACGGTATCTATTTACTCACTCTTAGCAAGCCTATCTTTAAGGCAGGATGCCGTACATTCGAACATTTTTTATGAAAAACTCCACTTATGATATCAGTTTTTATATTAATCAGGGTACAGGCTGACCTGCTCTAAAGAGACTCTAGTGATAGAATGTTCTTTCTTTTTATCTAACAATCTTAAAATAAGCAGATCCAAGTCATAGTAGGGATGACTTGGCTTCTGTCATCCACTACTGTGGCTTCTGTCTCTTGGCCCAAGGTAAGTATTTAAGCTCTTATCACTTTCCAGCTAGTGGGAAAGAGAATAGAAAAGTAGAAGACAAAGAACTTCCTTTTTAAGGAATTGACTAGAAACCTGCCCTTATAACTCAAGGAACTTCTCAGGTTTTTTTTTTTTTTTTTTTCTTTTTTTTTTTCAGAGCTAGAGAGAATACCTCTCTAAACTTCTACCTCTTACCTTCTGAATGTTCAATATAACTGAAATGTCTTAATGATGTGCTTGTTGGTAGAAGCCTATATATGGTAAATGCAAGAAGTGAGTGAGTACATCATATGTAGAACTTGAGAAACTTAACAGATGATCATAGGAGAAGGGTAGGAAAAATAAGATAAAAATAGAAAGGGAGGCAAACTATACGAGACTCTTAATTTTTTCTTTTAATGTTTATTTATTTTTGAGACAGAGCTTGAGTGGGGGAGAGGCAGAGAGAGAGGGTGACACACAGAATTTGAAGCAGGCTCCAAGCTATCAGCACAGAGGCCAATGTGGGGCTTGAACCCATGAACCTTGAGACCATGAGCTCTGTTGAAGTTGGACACTTAACCTACTGAGCCATCCAGTCACCTGACAAGAGACTCTTAAATACAGAGAACAAACTGAGGGTGGCAGAAGGGGACGTCAGTAGGAGAATGGGCTAAATGGGTGATGGGTGCTTTGGAGGGCACCTGTTGGGATGAGCACTGGGTATGTATATGTATATGTATATGTATATGTATATGTAGGTGATGAATCACTGGATTCTTCTCCTGAAGCCCACAACTACACTGTATGTTATCTAATTTAAGACTAAAAAAAGTTTTAAGTGAGTAAATACATAAAATGTTTAATAGCATCCCTATTAGAGATGGATCTTTCTTCTAAAAAATTCCTTCCAAAAAAGAAGGAATTTTCCCTGTCTTCTGCATAACTGTTGTTTATTTTGTTTTTTACTTCTCATCTCTTCATATGTGACCAATCTCATCAAGCACAAAGTACTAGTAAGAGTTTCTGGCATTCAGTTTTATTCATGGTCACCTCACCCTCATCACCATTATTGTCTTATTTATTCTACTCAATCTCTTACCTCAAGGTTTCCATGAGAAGTGAACAATTAATTATGCTTGTAAATCCCTTCCTTAGCCTATCCACTTTTTGATACATGTGTTTATTTTGGTTTACTTCAGACGGTCTTTCTTATCTTTTCCATATTCTGTACATCCAAAGACTGGCCATGTTCTTGTTCACCGTCTCATACTCTTATCATTTGGCTTAGCCTGGTGTGGCAGCTTAATGACCTTATTTCAACAGTTATACTGTGTTTTCTCCAACATCCTTGCTCACCAATGAAGACCACCTTATATATGTGGATTTTAAGGTGAGTAGGCAAGCAAATGCGTCCTTAACTACTAGAGAAACTGAGGTTAAAAAGCTGTTTAGTGATTCTAGGGCACCTGGGTGACTCAGTCAGTTAAGCATTCCACTTAAGCTAGGGCATGATCTCATAGTTTGTGAGTTCGAGCCCCTCATTGGGCTTTGTGCTGACAGCTCCGAGACTGGAGGCTGCTTCAGATTGTGTCTCCCTCTCTCTCTGCCCCTCCCCCACTTGCACTCTGTCTCTCTCTCTCTTTCTCTCTCAGAAATAAATAAACATTAAAAGAATTTGTAAAAAAAAAAAAAAAAGGCAATTAAGTGATTTAGCTAATACATCAATTGCAACTAGTAATGATGGAGCCAGGATCCTTCCAAGGTCGTTACACTAAAGGCCCTATGAAGACACCATGCAGTGTTCTTTTGTGTTGTGGTGGTATCCTAACCAACTACACTGCTTTCTGACAAAGCAAAGCAAATCCAACACATCAGTAATCTTTCCATTATATTTATATTAAGTGTCATCATAGGGATGTCCATAAGGCAATCGGGTTCTGTTGAGACTGAGTAGTTTCCTTACTGTGGGGGAAACCATGCCTGGAATGAAATGACACCTTTTTATCTTTGGTTTCACTTAATGATTATCCTGAAAGTCAGAAAGTACTAAATACATTAATAAACTAAAAACTCATAGAGCTAGAACTTTTAGGAGCATAGAATATTTTAGCTGACTATAGGGTACCTGTAATCCTTACTAGGAAACAAAACATAGTAACTTTGTTTATTCATGTCTTTTCATTAAAAGCTGTGGAATCATTATTCTGTGGGTATTTTGGCCTACATAATCTTTAGAGCTTGGGGCATTTTTGGTACTGGAATGAAATCATTTGCCGCTATGTACCATTTATACCGTTTCCTGAGAAATATATTGTGTTTGGCAGCAGCCTCTTTTCCTAAGGAATATCCTAAAGAAGTGGGTTGTGTGGATTCTATAGGGACAAGTAGGCATTATATAAATTTTCTGCTTTGAGTAACAGATGACCTCTTGGGGCCTAAAACATTACAAAGGCAAGAATAAAATGCAGACTTAAATGAGCAGCCAATTCAAAGATTGTAAAACCAGATATTATCCTTCATGAAGGTTCATGTAAAATAATACTTGACCTAATAAAAATATGACCTTTTTTTGAAGTACTTTTATATTCAGAAGTCAAAAT